CCCAGCCCGTGACACTGTCCCCCTCCCTCACGTGGTGGCTGGTCTGACTCTGAGGAAACCTAAGCCACAGGAGTCAGATCCACAACTGTGAAAAACCCAGCTCATCGTTCACGCTGCAAACACCCCCGGACTTTGAGAGCTCAGTGCCGTCAGAGGGCCTGGCTCCCTGGGCACTGAAGAAGAGACCAGCCTGCTCCGGGCACAGAGGCAGTGTCCCCGGGGCCTCTGCAGACCCGGCCAGGAGCCAGGGGCAGGGGGCCCCAGGGAGGGGACACGGAAAGGTGGGGCGATGGGCTTCAGGGGCCCAGGAAGCTGAGCTCCTCGAGGGGAGCCCTGGTCCTCTGAGTCCAGACAAAACGTAGCCTGGCCAAAAAGGCTGTCCCGATTTCTTTGCCAAAGGTCAGCAGTCCAGTGGCGGGCACACAGCTGGTGCTCAACACACATTTGCTGACACAGGAGGAGCCGTCAGACTCTTCCACCTACTCAAAAACGAGGGTGGAGGCTTCCCTGCCAGACGCTCACCTTGTAACAAGGAGACATTAATAAGGAAACAGGCCTACGACCCGAGCACAACCCGATTATTAAAGCGGTCGTATGTCTTCTCTGTCACCGAGGGTCAGAAAGTGGCTGTGATGAGATATGCAAAGAAAACTCCGCAGGACAAACCCCAGGACCCGACCGGGGACGCCCAAGGAGGCAGTCCTGTCACGAGGGAGCTCAGAAGGGGAGAGGGACATGGAGGAGCTGGATGGGTGTGGAGGACACACACCCGGGGCCAGGGCCTGGACACTGGCTGGCAATCACTGTGTGTCCTTGAGCAAGTCACTTCTACTCCGAGTCTCAGTTTCCTTGCCTAAAGTGGGGGCACCTCATTCTGCAAGGAGCTCATTTGTCACGTAATGGTTTCTGGGTCAGGACCCAGCACGTGCACTGGATGCTCTCAGGCGCCTGCCGGGTTCCAGGACACCGGAGTGCCAGTCCCAGCAAACCGTGGACCTCTCTGGGCCTCAGTTTCCCCACCTATGAATGAGGTCATTGCAGTCAATCATCTCCACGGATCTCTGGCTCTGACAGCCAGAAGACACTGCAGCTTCTTATCTAGCACCTTTGCCTGAGGGATTAAATAAATTCTTCCAAGTTCTCAGCTGGAAGGGGAAAGTCCATTCGCCTGTACACCCGCAAGGGGACAACAGTCCCATTGCTTTTATTCCTCCAGGAAGGAAGCAAACGTGATCCCACCTTGACAGCAACAATGGTAGTCTGATTGGCCCCGAACGCCTCTTGGGCGGTCACTTCGACCGTGGACATCCCGATCACGGGCCCCGACGTCAGGAGGCCCTTCTCGTCGACGTGCACGACGGGAACCTTCTCGGGCCCGTCCAGGACACGGAAGCTCAGAGAGGCCGCGCCGTCCCTTTGGGAAACAAAACAGGCCCGTGTTCACAGACAGCAGAGGCGGGCGGGGTGAGGACGAGGGGCCTGGGACTCGGGGGTCCCGCTGCTCCCGGAGAAGAGCAGGCCCAGTCCTGACCCCGCTGGGCAGTGGGACCACGTGCGGGCAGCCTGCTGCGGCCTCCTCAGTCACCGACGGAAAGCCTGATTTGGGAAACCAGTGCTCCTGGGAGGGCGGCATCTCCTGCGGAAGGACTCAAGGGCTGAGGGTCTCTCGGCAGCTGCCCGGATGCCTGCTGTAAAGGATCTCTCCGCGGCAGACTGCTGCCTTTGTTGAAAGAAGGCAGCCCGGCGCGGCGGGAAGAGGCGGGGGCTCTGAGCCGACGGAACCCCAAGGCTGTCCCCACAGCCCACGGACAAGCGGACGCCTGTAGGCACACGGGTCTCCCTGCCCACCTGGGTTTGCTCAGCCGTGAGATGGGAGCCCTGGCCCTGCCGTGCCCTATTTCCAAGGCCGATAACTAGATAACAAACAGGCCACTTGCTAGGAATGTGGTCTGGAAAACTACTGAGATACACACGCCAGGAGGCAGAACACAAATGGCGCATCTTTTATGCTAGTTTACATATTCATTCATGTTATGAAAAGAAGCCAGGAAGGAAAAGCTGCCGGCTCCCACCCTCTGTGCCGCAGCCCCCGGGCCCTCCCCAGGTGACTTTAACATTGCTTCGGCCTCCAATTTCTGCCCCCATCAACCACCCCCAACCTTAACCCGTGGAACCCCTAAGCACCCTTCAAGACCCCGCCTCAGCATCTCCGCCACTGGGCCTCCCGTTTGTCCTCACACGGAAGGCCCTTCTTTGGGTGCGGACTGAATGCCGCACCTCATTTCACAGCCGCCCCCCTCACGCTCCGCTCCTCTCTTCCCTGCCAGACTCCTCGGGGCATAGCTGTCATCCGGAGCCTGGCAGAGCCGCAGCTCACACTTAGGGCGGCTCGTCCATCACGTGTGAGTGTGTGTGTCTCCAATAGCCCTCAAGGCCCCTGAATTTGCAACTGCAGTTCACACAGAGCGTCGCCACCCAAAGCGTCACCTTAGCATGCAAAGCAGGAGGCAGGTTTGTAGACATGCTCCAAACCTCGCTTCTCAGCAGTCAGGCGTGTCCCTACCGCCCGGGAGGGGCTCGAGCCGTGTTCTCCCGCGGCCCCGGTGAGGCCCCGGCGGCTCGTTCCTAGACCGCACAGTGAGTGGCAGGTCCTGAGACACAGGGGCACTTGAAACGCTGACCACCCTGAGGCTGGCTCTCTCCCCTCTTTGAAAAACTGGATTTCTGCAGCAGGCGTGAAAGGTCCTGGGCCACAGAGAGCAGAGGGGCCCCCTCTGCGGGAGGTGAGGCCGCACCGCTGCCAGCACGACACGGGAGGTGTGCCCAGAGCACTCAGGGCTCCTGACAACTTTGACAAATGGCCGCGGGACGTGGGCGCGGCCTCCCGCCTGGACAAGGCCCGGCGCTGAGTCACGCACCTGTTGGTCTGGAGCTTTATGAACGAGTTGGGCGACATTAACACACGCTCGGCTTCTATCTCAGGGCTCAGCACCCGCAGCTTCTCGAACACCTGGAACAGAGGGCGCGCTGTGCTTCCTGTGACGTCTGCCTGCCTCCCAGCGGCAGGGCCCGGGGGCCAGACGTGAGAGGCCCTGAGGCCAGCACCCGCCAGGCCGCTGGTGCCGTGATGGCGAGGGCCGGCCTTTAAGAGGTCAAAGGTGTGATGAGGGTGCTGCTGAACCCCACGAGGGCTGCTGGCGGAGCCAGGAACACGGGCCTCCCTGGGCTCTCAGACGGGGTGTGGAAGGCGGCTCGCAGACTAACCGGCCAATGGTCCTCTCGGTGGGACCCTGCCAGGACTGAGCCTGGAGAAAGCTCTAAGTTCTCAGTGAGACACACTGCCCCGCATGTGCCCATCCCAGAGCCTCCCTCCTTCCAGCCCCTCCGCCCCAGGAGCCCTCGACTGTCGGCTCCCACAGGACCCGCACAGAGATGGTGCAGCGCGCCCGGCAGACCCAGGCCAGCGGACAGTGAACCTGATGATGTGGATGGAATCTGACCTGCCATCCCACCGCCGCCCGAGCCCACGGAGGCAGCCCCTCCCTGGGAGCTCCAGACCCCGCTCTGCACCCAGTCTCTGCATGTCATCCTTCTGAGTCCCTTTCTCCAAGGACCCTCGGTGCTGCTAGCACCCTTGGCATCTGAGACTGGACGCTGAGCACAGTTCTGGGCTCCCCGCTGGCTTCTGATTCGATCGGACCTTCTCCCAAGGGCCTGTGTCTAAAATCACCTGAACTGACGGATGATTTTGCAAGAGGAAACTGACCTGCCCTCCCTCCCAGCCCTGCTATGTCCCGACCATACACTTAAGCACGACTTCCTCAGCTGTAAAGAGGGTCTGGAAGTAATAATCCGCACCATGCTCGTCTCAGGGCTAGGGGAGCCACAGGGCACGCTGTGAGTGGCGGGGCTTCCTACACGGTGCATGGCGCACAGCCTTTGGGAGCTGGACTGGGCTCCGGTGCCAGGCGAGTCCTTCCGCCAGGCGGGGGGCACCCAGTGAAGCTGCCTCGCTGATTTTGACTCGGACACACGTATTGCACAGGGGACACATGCAGACGGACACACTGGTTCCTCCTCTTCTTAGGGGTGTACCTCTGTCGTCCCCCTTAAGATGGAGGTAAAGGCACCACAGGGACCTCCCCCTCCCCTGTGAGGGCAGCTGGCAGGAAAGCCCAGGGCCAGCGCCATGGCGAACGGCCACGGGTCAGGGAGACATCGGGGTGTGGGGGCCCGTGAAACCGGGGGGCACAGCTCTACAGACGGGGGCTGCTTCTCACCTCCTGCAGGTTCTGCTGCGCGGCAGCAGGCCCAGTCTTCCGGACAAACTGCACACGGGGCTTTTATACAAAACCTTCCTATTTTCAAATGTGGGCAACAAATAAAACTTGTCTCAAAGCACTGAGTGAGCCAAATCAAGCACCACTGGGCGCTGGATGCAGTGTCTCCAGGTTTCTGGTGTACGCGGCACTCGCCTGCCATCAGCCAGGGAAGCCGAGGCACAGAAATGCCACAGGCCCGACTGAGGGCAGAGAGTTTGCAAAGCCCTGTCTTTAATTCCACGAGAGGCGTCAGAACGTCCTGCGTTCTGTTTTCAGATGGGGAGAACGTGTATTTGTGTGCCTGTGTGTGTGTGTGTGTGTGTGTGTGTCTGTGTGAGCGCCTGCGCGCACGTGTGCAGGCAGGAGTGAAGGCGGCTGGCAGACGGGTGTTTCAGCCTTTGAAATCTGCTTCTCTGCCCCAGCAGGGTGTGCGCCCAGCTTAGAAATGGTTCGTTTCTTCCCGAAGGTGGGGCTTGAACCACTTCTTTGTTGACGCCTCTACAGGCTGCTTTCAGGTTTTCTTTCCAGTGGAGGGGGACCCGGACATCACTGCGTCCCAGATGAGCAGAATCAGTCCCCGCAGCTAAAATGCTCCTGGCTTTCACACTTTCTCAGAGGGCCCGGAGGGGCAGGGGAGGGGGAGAGAGCGGGGCCGAGCTAGGGCAGGGCAGGGGTGGCGGGCTCCGGCCCTGCCCTGTGCACCCTCCCTCACAGGGCTTGGTATCTGTCCATGAACCATGGGTCACACCCTCCAGGCCTTCAGGACCCTGTGCTGTCCACTCGCTGGGGCCCACAGCTCCGGCCCCACAGGCTTCTGGGGAGTGTCGGGGGCGCACCTGCCTCTGCTACGTGCTCTGAGTGTCTGTGAACTACACCAGCAAACTAGTGCCCAGCTCAGACGACCTGCCAGCCTCCTCCTCCCAGAAGGCACCCTGGACTTGGAACTCAGAGTCAGCTGCCCTTCTGGGAGCACGTCAAGCTATTTCAGACCTTC